TAATGATAATCAGTAATAATAATAAAAGTGCCAAGACTAACATTTACTGGCTTCTTCTTAACCATTTTAAAGGTGTTTCATAGTTCAGTTGTGACTAAAGACGATGCCTCCTTAGTGCAGCATGTTGATAATGAGCAGTCTTCTACTCAAGAGACACTGGTGGAACCAGTTGCTTCACGTCCCACCATTACTCCCAGAAAAGACACTGACAATAATATACCAGTGAGTTGCATGTATATAGCAGCAACTGCATGGTGCTGGGTAGCCATTTACAGTATAAGCACAGATGTTAAAAATGGATTTATTAATTTCACTGATTAAAATAATGAAAAAATACAATTTAATATACGTTATGCATTGTGTTGATAAACTTCAGTAAGCCCTCCATACACCAAGCATGCATGTTGGTTGCTATAGCAACATTTGTTGTTACTTTGATTTTTAATGAACATGTTGCTAAGAATAGAAATCAGTTCTATTTTGCAACAAGTTGCTCAAAAAATCAAAGTAACCACAAATGTTGCCTAGATAGAGGGCTATGATGCATGTACAGTACAGTACAGTAGTTATGATGACATAAAGCTAGTTACGATATTGCATTTAGGGCTAGGCAAATTAGGCTAGCATAATTTAATTTGGAGCATAATAGGGCAAGTTATTATGCTGGCATAATGGGAGCATAATGGGTCAAAATTTCTGGCACTATATCCCTGACCACAGGATTTCAATTCAATATAGCAAGTGGTACAAGTCAGTACTAGTACAAAAACCCAACTGCTTAATACCGAACTTTCTACACAACATAAGAACATGTATATGTATCAGAAAATGTAATAAAAATATACAATTCTCTCCTTTTCTATTTTGGCAAAATTTGGCTCATGACCCTGTACTATAGTACAGGGACTTTGATTTGATTTTGGAGCAACTTTAAAATCCTATATGAAACCCTTGGTTAATTAATAATTAATTAATATTTATATTCATTTATTAAATAATAATTTGTTTTCAATTGCTATATGTAGGCTTACAAGAAAGCATTTCAACATCCAAAGAATTACGAAGAGCTGTGGATACTAATATCAACTGATTACATAGTAACTAAAAATGAAACATCTAATAATAGTAACACTGTATTATTCTATTTATAGGTTAGGAGACTTGGTTATATTGACTTGAGACAAGACAAAAATACAACCATACGACTAATAGCAATGCAAGATAAAAGAAAGACCCCACCTAAGCCGCTTTTCATGAATGTACATTATTCTGATTCTAAACCTACTGCATGTCTCCCCACTAAATGGGACTATGGGGCACTAGGGGTCAGGATAACTACGAAGTTTATCTGGTAAAGACCGAGGTATTGAAGCCTGATCAGTATCAATCAGTATCTCACATCACAGTATCAACTAATAAAGACTGTAGCAGTGAGAGTGGTGTTATCCCCATACAAACCATTAAACCCAAGGAGTATGATTATAATTTTGGTGTTTGTATTCATAAAGGGATTGGACCTGATTTCAAGCCTAAGGTACTCCTGGATTATGTGAAGATGCACTTGGCAGTAGGAGCTGAAATAATAACAATATACATACAGACTGGGGCAGAAGGAGTCTATGATATATTACTACCATACATTAATAAAGGAACTGTTGAAGTATTGGACTGGAAGCTAGAGCCCAACATTACTAATGGAGGCTCCCATCATTACGGACAGACTGGGATAATAACTGAATGTCTTTGGCGTAATATATATCGAGTGAAGTACTTGGGTATGAATGATGCTGATGAGTTCTTTATTCCGGTACAACATAAGACAATATCGGAGCTGATGTCTGATATTGATAAAGCTCCTACTGCAGCTTTTAGTTTTCAGAATTTCATGATGAAAGGGAATGAGATGCTGCCAAAAGTAGCTAAAGCGTTGAGTTCAAACAGACTGTTCTGAGATAAAGAATGACTCCCTTCCTGTTTA